CAGCGTCACACACGGCGGGCTAGAGTGAGCGGAGGCCAGAAGCCTAGCGTGAGCGGCGGCCGGCGGATTCGACGAAGGAGCATGCGCCACATGTGACGACCCCGGGCTGGACTCCGCTTCGTCCACGGTGATAGCCGATCCAGCGATAGCTCTCTGAGGGACTGTTTACTTTAGCCACATTCATCATTAAACTTGCTAATTAGCACATTATTAGGAAAGGCGATTTTCAAAGATTCATTAAAAAACCTTATACTCACTTCACACACATTTCACACATTTCAGTTCAAACAACTTGTAAAAGTGCATGTAGCATCCTATGACCCCTTTAATATGTGCTTTATACTGTAAGTACTAACAAACAGGCAATATACTATAATATGCATGCTAGTTAAATAATGAGAATTGGTCCTTAAAATAAAATGTTACCAAAATGAATTACTGCAATAATTTAGTAAAACATACCTAATAAATCTTGTAACAAATACATGGGATTTGTGCTTCTAATGCTAAAAACAAAACAAAAAAATCAGAGGTCATGGAAAGTGCCTGATATTGACAAATCTCAAGCATTTGATTTATAGAAGAACATTCAAATATCACAAAGATTGTATTTTCCATGAAATTGGTAACATTTAATTGTTAGTATTCTCATAAAAGTGTTCAGTGTCTCACAACTTCATGAAAACCCAGCTTCAGCTTTTAGTTATGCAGGAAAATGGCCTTCAAAACCTTTTCATAAGTCTCATCCATTTACCAAATACATAATCGAATCCATATCATCAGACATCATGATGGCAATAATACCTTTTTTTTTCATTTACCTAAAGGGAACAAACAATTGCTACAAATAAGACCGATATTTGACTGATTTGGACATAAAGAGAGAGATTATCTTAAAGGAAATGAGAGGCATCTCCATGACAAGGTTACTTCAGAGGTGTCCAATTGAAAGCATGGATAATAAGATTACTCTTAAAGTCAAATCTCCCCAGAAGACACTTTTGATTGACTGATCCTCAGCCAGACTCATAACCAAACATAATCCTGTTTTACTCAAACTACATTCTGAACTACACCCGAAGACTCAAGTCAACACCCAAAACCTATTAATGTAGTAATTTTAGGTTACACTTTATTTCGATAGTCCACTTTAGACATTCTACGCTACAACAATCTTGATATTGATGCCTCTGCATTCATTTTATTCTGTATAAACAGGTGAAAATCTCAATTAGCTAAAAACACAATAAAATTAAAAACACTTAAGCGCACATGAGCGAAATTCATCAAAATGCAAGACTTTTTATGCTATCACTTAAAAAAGTATGTGTTGCATATAAAAGTATCCGATTAGTGATGGAAAACATGCCATAACACTACCAAAATCCATTTTAGCATTAAATAAAATAGACAGTTCTATACAGAAGCAGTTATGAATTCAGTACAGTTGTAATGTTTCATATCTGGATGATCTATTTCAAAAAGAGGCTCAAAAACAAATTATACTTTATTCAATGCATAAAAATGGTTATTAAAACACAAAGAATAAAAAATCAGGGATTAGAACAGATTTATTTTGTTATGAACTTTATAGATGCCTTTATTAAAAGCCTGTAAAGAGGAGTGAAAATCTGCAGTGGAACGCTTTAGATTGTCAGGACATCATGTGCTGTATCTATACTGCCCTCTACTGTTACAGTCGAAACTGCTTTTATCCTTCTGATAATGCTCCTTCACTCTGTCACCAAACACTGAGAAATATGAGAATGATTCAAATAGTCTATATAAATAAATTAATAAATATAATACACTGTATACATATAAAAGATGGAGTGAAATGCACCCATACAGTAGTCATTTAATCAGTCTGCAGTCCAGGAATATCAGTGTAAATGTTTTCACTGCTAATAAGACCACCGATTATGTATTATAGACTGCACATGCTTTGCTTTCCATGCATTTCTTACTGTTATACTAAACATGTAATGTTACTGAGCCAAGAAATGTATTTTTACGAAAAGGAACTGAAATGTAATTTCATCTTTAGGTACAAATAATACAACAATAACATATAACAACGATAAAAAAAGGGAAATTTTTTTAAATGTTGAGAGGTCGTTTAGTTTTAGTGTAACAAGTCAACAAATGCACAAGCCAAAACAGATTTACCCAATTTATACAAAACAATTCTAGCACAGATTCACAGATTTTCATTTCAGTGACTGCTTTGGCACGATACTTCACGTTAATAAACCGATGGATTTAATACTGGATTCTTACAAGCCAATTTCAAACAGACACACGTGGCAATTTAATAACAGCGATTTCAAGTTCCAAAGCAAATTGCTCTTGAGATTGATCTAGTCTCTAAGCTCAGGTGAGGTTCTCATGCTGCTCTTCAGATTCTGGTTTCTTGCAGAACATCGTGGAGAGTTCCTGTAACAGCAGTTCCTGTTGGGGGCTGCATGATCTGTGGGACCTGTGTCTACCTGGGACGTGCAGGGAGTCCTCATGGCCCAGAGTGTCTAATGATTCTCTAGAGGATAAGAGAGAGTGCGCTGGGTTTAACCCAACCATGCGATCCAGGGAGGCGGCCTTCCTCTGTCCGAGGCTGACGGGCCGTGCTGGCACCTCCTGTGTCTCTGCGTGAGCGCTGGACAGGAAACTAGTTTCCAAAGATTTGAGCACCTGCAGACCGAAGTCGCCCACCTCCTCATACAAAGGTTCGGGGCTTTCAATGCGCTCCTCAAACGAGTCCTGCTGCACCTTCATGGGCTGAGAAGGAAAACAAAAAAGACAATTGCAAAGCATACCAGGAGGTCAAAACGATATCTGTTGTGGATTTCAGATTACAACACTTAATTACACTGGCCTGAGTCTTTAAACCAATAACACATGACAGGCCATCTATAACAGTCACTTCACCACAGTTATGAAATAGTTTTGAAAAACAAAAAGACTGAATTTAAATTAAAACAACATTAATATTATAAGAGAACCTAATATTCAATAAATAAATCTAGTGATAATAATCATATTAACCTTTTATCACAAACAATGTGATTGGAACCTTGATAATAATAATAATAATAATAATAAATATTAATAGTTATAGTTATATTGTTAATGTATTATTATTGTTATTATTAATAAATATTCATAGTTATGGTTATATTGCTATTTTTTAATTATTATTATTATTATTATTATTATTATATGATAACTATATTGTGTTATAATGTTAATAATAAGAATAATAGTAATAACAGTTGTAGTATACAGTAATAATTATTATTATTGTTGTTGTTGTTTTATGACATTACATTTTTATGCAACTATACATAACAAGAATAATATAGTGAATATACTTTTATATGAATCTTATAATATTACACACACTTTTATTATTATGATTATGATGATTATTATTATTATTTTGTTGTTGTTGTATGACACTTATGTATTAATAACTATATAGTGAATAAGCAGCAACAACAATAATTTTAGATAATACCATAACTATATTGTCTTTATTATTATTATTAAATAATTAATTAATTTTGTTTTAATTATCTTAATTTATTATTAACTATAAATGAGTCATAATTATAGTGAATATAGTATTATGAGAACCTTATAATAATAATAATAATAATAATTGTATATACTACTATTACTATGTTATGCATTTATTATTATTTATTATTGTTGTTGTTGTAGTATGGCATTATAAAAAATTTGCTATAATAAAATAGTGAATAATAATGCTATTTCATTTCATTTTAAATTACATAAAAAATAAATAATAACAATAAATGTTATAAATATTGTGTTAAATAAATAAATCTGCTATTTCACAACAGCATTGAATGTATAGCTCCACCAATCAGAGCAACCTATAATGCTATGTGTTTATAAAATGCAAGTAAGCTTATGAGCTTGTATCCTTGCGTATCCAAAGCAAATCAGTCTCCTGAACTAAGATCATAAAAACTACATCTCATCCATACGGGTGTTAGGTTTCGAACAAACTAGTGACTATCATCTCATGAAAATACCTAATCTAGATCTTGATTAGATGATCTACCATTATGCTAACAAAAGAAGTATTTGTGGTTAGCGGAAGGGATTTGCTCCTCAACAATGTTCAAAACAAATTACTTCCTTTTCTGAGTTGAAACTTTTGTCTCAGTATCAGAGCGACAACATCAAGAGAATTGATGAATACATCGAGGACAAAAGCATGAAGCCCACAGACAATTTGCTTGCGAAAGCTTTTGGGCCGGGACACACCAGAAGCTGCGGCTTTTTCCCAAAACACAAGAGGTGAAGCCAGCTCCCTGCCCTCCCTCAAGGCTACAGTTGCAGAACAATGCAGTAGAAGCCTTCTTCCTCCAAATGCATCCTGTCATATCAGGAAAGCCTGGTTCCCAACAGGAATGGGGGGGAGGACCGAGGAAGTCAAAGGGAATTCCTCAATTAAGTATAGGCTCTTTTGTAAAGCACACCCTTACATTTTTGAGCGTTTTTTAGACCCAGAGGTCATCTGATACTTTCCAAACCTCCTACTTTTACATTTTGACCAGCCACTGTAATCAGAGTAATTGTGACTGGTTGTGTTGAAGAAATGGCAACAAAACTTGTATGCAAAGGTGTGAAACTGAACATTAAGTTGGGTAATAGCTCACCCAAAAATTTACTCAGCCTCAGGCCATCCAAGATATAGATGAGTTTGTTAATTCCTCAGAACGGATTTGGAGAAATGTAGCATTACATCTCTTGCTCACCGACGGATCCTATGCAGTGAATGGGTGCCGTCAGAATGAGAGTCCAAACAGCTGATAAAAACATCACAATAATCCACAAGTAATCCACACCACTCCAGACCATCAATTAATGTCTTCTAATAAACAAATCCATAAATAAAGTTTTTTAACATTAAACCATCACTTCTGTCCAAAATACCAGTCCATAATCCATAATAACGCTTCATCCAGTGAAAAAGTCCATCCCCTGTTGTCCTCTCACATCAAAATCCACCTAAATATTTGTATAGATCTGTTTTGGCATGTTTTCATTAATAAATGGTGCTTGATCTGTGCATATTTCCCGCCTGATTCAGACAAGACAACGTTTTCATTGGAGAACGCAATATTATGGATATAAGACTAGTAATGATATGAAGTTAAAAATGTTATTACAAACACGCAGCTTTTCCCTTCAAAATATGTTAACTGATGGACTGGAGTGGTGTGGATTATTTGTGATGTTTTTATCAGCTGTTTGGACTCTCTTTCTGACGGCACCCATTCACTGCAGAGGATCCATTAGTGAGCAAGTGATGTAATGCTACATTTCTCCAAATCTGTTCTGATGGGGGGGAGGGGGCTTGAAGTATTGACTCGGAGAGGAGGGGGGCCTTGGAGTAAAAAAGCTTGAGAACCACTGTTTTAAAGTAATTCTTATATAAAATGCATTGGATTAATCAGCAGATAAAAAGAAATACTTACAAAGAACATTGAGAGAGCCCTTCTTGTGTGGAGCTTTCTCTGCAAAAATACACAGACAACAAGTTAAAGGGGTCATATGATGCGATTTCAAGTTTTCCTTTCTAAGCAAAGACCAAGTGAGCATTACATGCACTGAACCACTAGAGGACGCCATAGTGTTGTACCAGAGTCTGATTGGCGGAGAGCATGGTGGAGTTGGTATTGCTCTCCTCTCCTCTGATGGGCACAAGCGGCATGGTGCCAAACTTCTGCTTGGAAATGTCAGAGGAAGAGTGCCGTCTCATCACAGGTGGACGCAAATCATCATTCTGAGGGAGGGACGTTAATGTTAAGCTACAGCTCTGAAATGTCAATAAATTTGTTCAATTTAAAACATGCTGTACCTGTGCTTTTAGTAAATTAGTCATCCAGTCCCATAGTTCAGTCTCACAGGAACAGCTGAGGTACCTGTGCAGTCAAGGAGAGTGATTACTGTTCACTATGTAGCTATAAATAGACACTTTCTATAAAGCTTGTATAAAGCATTGTAAAGAAATGTAAAATGCTTTTAAATGTATTCATACTCATGTCCTATAATATGCATTACTGTCGCATAATTATTTACTTTTTCAAGGTACCTTTAAAGAGTGTAATGCATAATAACACTCACATATAACATGTTATAAGAAACTGACATATATATATACATACATATAAAGGGGTAATAAATATATATATTGGGGCTGCAAGATTTTGTTTTTGAAAAGTCTCTTATGAAGTCTCTTAATTCCTGTTCTATTCCATGCACACATATAAATATAACACATATAAATACCACTTACAATTGCTGTTTATCCAGCATCACTGTTAATCCCCATCTGCAAGTAAACACACTTGTTATTTAAAGTTATATCAAGTTCACTGATGTAAAGAAGCTTACTGTGGAACGTGCATCTCACTTTGTTGGTGGTTTTAACTTCTTTCTGATCCCCATGTAAATCTTCAAGGTTTTCAGTTGCCACTCTTTCTCAGGTTTGTTGCTCTGTGATGCAGAAAAGCTGCTTTTAGTTTTTCCTTTCAGTTCAGTGTCATCTTATTTACACAGAATCCTCTAACGTGCTGTAATGTAGAAGGTGATGATGAACAGTATACATACTTTTTTGTCCTTCATCAGGAGTAATCTGTGGTCTTTAATTTGGAAAGATCGCTCCTGGAATTTGTTTCCTTGCAAGAGCTTGGGCGGCTCTTCCCGACACTTCAGCACTCCAGACTTCACTATCTCACTCTTATAGGCTGCAGCGCACAACACACAGATACAACAGACACAAGGTCAACAAGCAACAACTACAGCTGTATCATTTTGTACAATTTTGTAACAAAGTATACAGTTTGTGTTTTTCGTATGACAAAAATGGTTTTAGAGTTGTATAGTAATAAATCAATGTGACACTGTATTATTATCTTTTTTTTCTCATTCTTGTATACTCTACTGTTCACAAGTTTGGAGTTTTTTTTTTGTTTTTTGTTTTTTTTACAAATTAACCGAAGGTGATGGTAAAGACATTTAAAATGTTTCAAAAGATTTCTATTTCAAATAAATGCTGTTCTTTTGAATTATTCATCAAATAATCCTGAGGGGGGAAAAAATCCTGTTTTCAACATTGATAATCAAATGTTTCTTGAGCAGCAAATCAGTGTATTAGAATGATTTCTGGAGGAAGACTGGAGTAATGATGCTGAAAATTCAGCTTTGATCACAGGAATAAATTACATTTTAAAATACATTCAAATAGAAAAAAATTGTTTGAAATTTTAATAATATTTCACAATATTACTGTATTTTTGGACTTGAGCATAAAACATCCTTCTTTAAAAAACAAACACAAAAATCTAACTTTTGAACAGTACTGTAATTTTATGCATTTTATCACCTCAGGTTAGTGGAGAGTAGGGTTGTGACAGTGAGTACATTTTCCCACCGGTTAATCGACGTGAGACAACACCGGTAATACCGGTATCACGGTGGGGGCGGGGGCGTTCCCTCTTTTCCTCGCTTTCCTTCGCTTTTAAATAACTTGTAAAAGCGGCGTGCGCATTTTACTTTCGAATTAACGGCAGTTCGGCGTCAATTGCTTGAATGCAACAACAAAATACAACGTCAAACTCACTTTAGCCTATATATAAAACATAGAACTTTTATTCACAAAACGAATAAAAATACACCATGCTATAGGGCAGACTATGCCTAACATAAAATAACAAATAACTCACATAAAGTTTAAATAGGTATACAAAACTGGAAATAGTAAACATGTATAATATATAACCAAATAAATAAGAAACGTAGAACGTTTATTAGCAAAACGAGTAAGAAAGCTTGGAGGCACGGCATACACCTTGATGTCAAATAAAATAAATAAATGACACAAAGTTTGAATAAAGCAAAAATCAGCAAACAACGTGGAACCAATTAAATAAGAAACTATATAATAAAGGCATTGAGCAGCCGCGTTCAGTTTTTAATTGTAGTGTCTGTTCTTTTACTGAATTAAATAATTTTTATTACTATAAAAAAACAAAACGACGGTGGGGGTCGGTGCCGCGGTGGGCATGTGACGTAACCGGTGTTACGGCTTAACACCGGTATCACCGTCAACACCGTCTATCGCTGCAAGCCTAGTGGAGAGACTACAGTATATGGAATATATGTACTTATAAAAATGTTTTTGTGACAATGCAGCACCACTGAAGTGAAAAATGGGTTCAAATGCTTTACAATATTCAACACATCATTATATACTCTAAATCTGATGAAATGAATATGCTTTCACCTGTGAAAATGTCTATAGCTTCTCCTCTAGGCACCTTCTTCACCACCAGATACGCTGAGCTGGGATTGGCCATTTTACACCACTGTAGCGCTTGTTCCAGAACCTTCTCTTTAGGGTGAAGAGGTCGCTCTGTGGAAATTACATGCTGCATTTATCTATTGTTTCTCCCGGCCTTAAAAAACATTGTTTGCCCTGCAGTGTCTGAGTAACGTCAGTAGTAACTGAAGTGAAATTGTGTTTGAATTAATTTGTTTGCGTTTTGTCTTTACCAAGCTCTCCTTCCTCGATGGCCTCAAAGGTCATCCACACGTCTTTTTCCCCTGCAGGAATATTTCTCATATACAGCACCTGATTGGTCAGCTCCTCAGCACACATTGTGGGAGACACCTGTGAGAAAGCCACACCAGAAGTTTGCATTAATGGTTTGAATCTGCCACCGTGTGGTAATGCTGTGCAACAGCAGCTCTCCGTCAAACAAAAAAACGTGAAATACAGTTTGAGTTGTTTTTTTTTTCACAATATTATTTCATGTATGTTAGCTTTGAGGCCATCTAAATGCTTGTGTACTAAAGGTTGACAAAAACATTAAGCAGATATACACACTTAAAATATATTGCTTTCCCCTTCCAGGACAACGGACAACAATATTGTTGACATCATATATATCTCATTATTATTATTTTTAAATATGATCTACTTACTTTCAGAGTGATGCAGCAGTCTGGTATCTTTTCTTCTAGATAAACTTCAATAATCAAGTCCCCTGCCTGTGAGAGCTGCAATAAACACAAAAAAAATATTAAAATATAATTTAAAATATAATACTATTAATTAATTAATCTACCTGTGTGTCTCTCCAAGTGGTTATCAAACTGATTTCCAGTTCAATCTGAGTTTGATGTTCTTCATCAATCTGATCAAACACAAAAAAATTTCAAAAGCATCAAAATGATTCACATTTGCATAAAACTGCATTCCACGAAAAACTATACAATGGTACTCCCATGTTTTTTGTGTTTTTTGTACCATTGTAGTATCATAGTATTCAATGATTTGCATGGTATTCAGAATTAAATAAGTTGCATAGTACATGGTATCTCCAAGTACTGTACTATCGTATCATCACCTGATATTATAACTTCACCACGGTGCCACCTCAGCACCGTTTTTGCTCTAATATCACGTTACGAAGATATTCACTTACATCAAATATATACAGGAAGTTATCGATGAGGTCTTCTATGATTTTGACCTCATGTTCCCCTTTCCCATCAGTCTGAAACAGGCTGGGAGCGAACAACAGGGACAGGTTCTTAGTGCACATCTGATTGAGATCAGCACACTTCTGCACCCTAAGAGAGAGGAAGACAAAGCCATGTGAGAGCTGCTATAAATGAACAAAGACCAGATGCTGCTGAATCAGAATCAGAATGAAGACTCACCTGTAGAGATGACTGATGAGCGCTGCTAAAGTCGTTCTGTTGACCCGAGGTAACCCTCGAATCAGCTCTTTGTATCGGTCCAAACGCTGTGGCTTTTGAGGTATCTCTGCATATAGTATGAGAAATCACTGAGATAACTCAAACTAGCCAAAATCCAGTATGTTTGTTGTCAGTCATACAAATATTCTGGGTTGTTTTCAACTTCATGTTTATGGATGCAAAATCCAGTTTTTGTAATGCACTACCAGTCAAAAGTTTTTGAACAGTAAGATTTGTAATGTTTTTAAAGAATTCTCTTCTGCTCACCAAGCCTGCATTTATTTGATCCCAAATACAGCAAAACAGTAATATTGTGAAATATTTTTACTATTTAAAATAGCTGTTTTCTAGTTGAATATATTTGAAAATGTAATTTATTCCTGTGATTTCAAAGCTGAATTTTCAGCATCATTACTCCAGTCTACAGTGTCACACGATCCTTCAGAAATCATTCTAATATGCTGATTTGCTGCTCAAACACATTTAAGATTATTATTATGTTGAAAACAGCCGAGTAGAATTTTTTCAGGTTTCTTTGATGAATAGAAAGTTCAGAAGAACAGCATTAATCTGAACGATAAATCTTTTGTAACATTATAAACGTCTTTATCATCACTTTTAATCAATTTTTAAAGCATCCTTGCTAAATAAAAGTATTCATTTCTATAATTTCTTTCCCAGAAAAAATTATACTGACTTCAAGCTTTTGAATGGAATAGTGTATAATGTAACAAAAGCTTTTTATTTCAGATAAATGCTGATCTTTGGATCTTTCTATTCATCAAAGAATCCTGGAAAAAAAATGTACTCGACTGTTTTAAATATTGATAATAATAATAATAATAAATGTTTCTTGAGCAGCAAATCAGCATATTAGAATGGTTTCTGAAGGATCATGTGACACTGAAGACTGGAGTAATGATGATGAAAATTCAGCTTTACCATCACAGGAATAAATTACATTTTTAAATATATTCATACAGAAAACAGTTATTTTAAATTCTTATAATATTTCACAGTATTACTGTTTTTACTGTATTTTTGAAATAAATGCAGCCGTAAGCATGCCACAGATGCATCTAATAGACATTATGCAGCAAATAACCCACAATATTTAATTAAACTGCGTATAAACATTCAAAGAAAGTGTACTGTACTAACTGGCAGCTTCCCTCCAGAAGGGGTGGAGATCAGCCATGAATATGGGATCATCAATCTCCCGAAAGAACCTTTTCAGTACATCGGTCACGTCCTCTATGAAGTTATCTCCAATGCGGAGTTTCACATTGCGGGCGTCCTTACGAAACTCCTCCATCAAAAGCTTGATTCTGGACTTCGCACCGTTTTTCCTGTATATCCCCTCATGGCCCAGACCTGCGTAAGAGAGATTCAATCATTCGGACTGCAGTGGTAATGTTATAGATTTAGGCAGGGCGGACTGTCTTCAGTACAAAGCACAGGGATTTGAGAAGTCTGTGTTCTCACCATACTGAGTTATAAAGGCAATGCAGCTGTCAACGATGATGGGGATGTCATTTCTGCTGAGCTGCTGGTCTTTCAGGGTGTTCCCTTTCCCTCCTGCTGCCTTCTGAATGTCTGTGTACCACAGGGAGAAATCGGTCCTGCCCATGCCCTGCAGATGCAGAGTCCTGCAGACAGAGTCATTATATTTTGATGAAAGATTAATGGGACTGGATTAATGGATGCAATCGTTTGCAATAAGGACTGGGAGATGTATTAAAGGAATAGTTCACCCAAAAATGAATATTTGCTGAAAATTTATTCACCCTCAGGCCAAGACATAGATGATTTAGTTTCTTCTTCTGAGAAATGTAGCATTCCATCACTTGCTCAGCAAAGGATCCTCTGCAGTGAATGGGTGCCGTCAGAATGAGAATCCAAACAGCTCATAAAAACATCACAATAATCCACAAGTAATCCACACCACTCCAGTCCATCAGTTAATGTCTTGAGTAGGGAAAAGCTGCATGTTTGTAAGAAACAAATCCTTCAGAAAGGTGTTTTAACTTTAAACCGTTACTTCTGGTCAAAATATGAGTCCATAATAACACTTAATTCCAGTGAAAATGTCCATCCCCTGTTGTCCTCTCGCATCAAAATGCACTGCCATATTTGTTTAGAATTGTTTTAGACAGTTTTCACTTGTAAATGGTGCTTCATCTGTGCATATTTCTCTCCTGATTCAGAGGACACAACTTTTTCAGTGTAGAAAAAATTACCATGGATAGAGGACTCATATTTTAGCGAAACAGCGGTTTGAAGTTAAAAATTTCTTAATGATGGATTTGTTTCATACAAACATGCAGCTTTTCACTTCACAAGATGTTAACTGATGGACTGGAGTGGTGTGGATTACTTGTGGATTATTGTGATGTTTTTATCAGCTGTTTGGACTCTCATTCTGACGGCACCCATTCACTGCAGAGGATCCATTGGTGAGCAATTGATGTAATGCTACATTTCTCCAAATCTGTTCTGATGAAGAAACTCTTTTACATCTCGGATGGCCCGAGAGTGAGTAAATGTTCTATATGAACAGGTTGGACTTCTGCAGAACAAAGAAGCCTTCTTTCCACTGCTGCGGGTCTAGCATGGCCTTGTAGCGCAGTACGCCCACTCGCTCGAACTCTCGCGCCAGCAGGCAGTGACAGCTGAGAGGGGTGGTGGCCTGCCAGAGATCAAAACCGAGGTGAGATCTAATGCACTGATGTGACAAGCTACATAGAGCAGAGCTTGTCTGATTAATATTTACCTTCCCTATTGCTCGCGCCCAACTGTGCAATGCATCTAGAGTCTCCAAGCCAAACTGGATCAGTTTATCAGATGTTAGGTAAAGTTCAAAAGTGTATCGAAATCTGAAAGGAACAACAAAGAATCATATTGTTATAATGTAAGGATTAAGATACTATGACATCTCTAAATCTGATTATGTCCTGAAGGATGTTGTGTTATGCAGTGGCACCCACTTGTCAATAAAGCCGCTGTTGTTGCTGGAGTCTGGTCTGCTAACTCCTAAACAGATGATGTCTTTAACATCGATCTTCAGACTGGGCTCATGACATCTGTCAGACTCATAGAAGAGAATAGACTTCTCCACCGAACACCAGTACTTTTGAAAATCTGCTGAATAAATAAAATCAAAAAGGTAATAAAAAAAAACAAAATTTTTTTCTGTATGTTTCATATCAGATGTCAAATATAAAGTCCAAGACCACTGATGTTTTGAAGTGAGTAGTAATCAGATGGTCATCATGATTTACACTCGTTTTAAAGTACCATTTTAAAGTGCTCCTCTGCGCACCAAGGCTGCAGTTACTTGATAAATATACAGTAAAAATAGTAATATTACAGTAAAAATAGTAATATAGTGAAATGTTATTACAATTTAAAATAACTACTTTGTAATTAAATTTATTCCTGTGATGCAGTTGAATTTTCAGCATCATTACTCCAGTCGTCAGTGTCACATGATCCTTCAGAAATCATTCTAATATGCTGATTTGCTGCTCAAGAAACATTTATTATTATCAATGTTGAAAACAGTTTTGCTGCTTAATATTTTTGTGGAAACCATAATACATTTTTCAGGATTATTTGATGAATATAAAGTCTAAAAGACAGCATTTATGTGAAATAGAAATATTTCGTAACATTATAAAGGTTTTTACTGTCGCCTTTGATAAACTGAATGCATCTTTGTTTAATTAAATATAAATTTTGTTGAAAAAAATCTTACTGAACCCAAACTTTTGATGCAATCATTTTAATTTTGTAATGATTTTTTTCAGATGAGCAGTGTTGGGGAAAGTAACTGTGTTACTTTTTAAGGAAAGTAATGTAATGTATTACGTTACTTTTGCATTACTTTTTGTCACCTGGGCTGGGCTTGGATATTTGTTTTTTAATAAAAAAAAATAGTTTAATTTTACACAACTGTAAAGGCGCTTTTACACCAAAAGTGAAATAAATAAGCCTCAGACTGAAAGAAGTGTCTCTGCACATCACTCCTATTTTGTCTCAACATGGGGACAGGAGAAATGTCAGTGAATAAATCGGAAAACAAAAAGTTGTTAATTTAATTTATTAGATTTTATTTAAAAGTAATGCATTACTTTACTAGTTACTTGAAAATAAGTAATCTGATTACGTAACTTGTGTTATTTGTAATGCATTACCCCCAACACTGCTGATGAGTATGAAGTAGTTAGATGGTACTGAATAGCTTTGTTTTTACTGAAGAGGTCTGCTACAGTTTGCTTGTTTAGGGCACATAGTCGCCTACCGTCTCTGGTTCTGCGGGATAATGTCCCTTTGTTCAAGGAGCTTGACTTGTAGAGGTAGCCGGAGTACAGGATGGGCTGCATGATCTCATCATAGACACAGGAATCTGAATCCAGAAATTACAGTGAGATACTTCACACCTATTGTATTTCACTTTGACATATATTACAATTTCCATATGCTAAAAGTGAAGTATGCAATTTTATTAATGTTACAGTATAGAGAATCAAAGAATGTAGCAAAGCATACATTCAAAAAACATTACTCACCTTGTTCAAGATGGAGAATTCTAAGAGAACTGTGATTTAGTTGATCTTTTTCCAGTTCTGACTAGGTGCCTATTAAATTGCAAACTTCACCTTTAAGAAACATGGCTGTAGTGAAGTACTAGAACGGTACCTGCAGACTGTGTGTATGAGTAATGCGGGGACACGTGCTTATCGTTTCCATTAGCGTCAGCGAGTCGAGCGGCCTCAGCCTCCGCAAAAATCTGAGTGACCGTTTTTAGCAGGTTCTGCTCAGTCACAGCGGTGCACAGCGCCTGCAGGGTGACCACATACACACACAATCATATACACACTTCAACAAATGCACCGCTAATAGCATATTTAGCCAGCGGACATTCAAAGCTTCTTCTAAAAATCCCTCTATTCTTTGCAGTCCTTTTATTAGTGCTCTTCATTATTTATAATTCACAACACAGCCATCGGCTAATTCGGGGGTTCATAGGTAGCCTGGATACACAAATGATAGCTTTGGTAAAGTCCTGAGAAAGAATAATACATCCTAATCTTGGCTTGACCGCTGGCATAATACTTAGATGGCTCTAGCTATATTAAGACAGGATGTCCTCACTGCCCCAGTGGTGACTGATCTAAAAGTTTTCTTTTGAAGCAAAGCTATTACACGGAGAAATGTCCGCTGCAATAGTTCACTGCGGTTCTTATTTGAGGAAGTATTCAGGGTATTTCAAAATTAAGTGTGTTGCAGAAGAGGAAAGGGAAATGCATTTATTGTGCAAAAGTGTTGAAGTTATGTGGCTCTGAAGACAACCGTGTAAAATATTAATCGTTAAATGCAAAAGGCCTATATACATCTGCACAAGGTTTACACAAAGGCTTCAGTCAGTGCTAATTGATAACAGCAATATAAGGTTTCCATTTCGTTGAACAATGAATTCCCTTGATTTTCCATGGCCTTTCTTACAGTTCATGATTACTGAGCATTACTAAGAATAATGTATATTTACTATAGATATTTCCATGACTTAAAGGTTTTAAATTCACTAAAAAAAAAATTATGATATTTATATTTATTATAATTATATAATTATTATAATTATAATTATTATTATTATTATTATTACTATTTTATTGTGTATCTAAAAACTAAACAATAACAATAGTAGAATTACAATAGTAGAATTACAATAATAAAAGTAATTATTATTATTATTATTATTAACTTATTTTATTGTGTGTAGTATTATGATTACTGTTGATGTAGTAAATTAGTAGTAGTAGAATTAATATTAATATTATACATTTTTTACATTATTATCATTATTATTATTAACTTATTTATTTTGTGTTTTGTGTAATAATACTAATATTATTATTATTATTAACAACATATATACTTATATAACTTACTATATTAACTTAATTTAACTACATTTTTATTATTATTATTAACTAATATAATGATTATTTAATGTGTTTTACATATTATTATTTTACTACACCAAGGGCAGATTAAATTGTTGGTGGACCAAACATAATTTTATCTACCGTATTGGCCCGAATATAAGACGACCGCGTTTTTTCAGATGTATTTCCAAGAAAAAAACATCGTCTTATATTCGGGTCAATACGGTAATTTCCATACATTTTCCAGGCCAGAAAACTCCATTTTAAAATTCCCTGATATTCTGTTTTTTAACTATGAGGTTTAAAAATAAACGCTTTGAAATTAAAATAAAATCTGACGTTAAAGATGCCATGTTCAGCACTCCTGACTGTACTTTTAAGACTGTAAGTAATCTTAAATAATTCATGAATAATCTTAATCTTAATGACTGGTAAACAAGTCACCATTGGTTTGCATGATCTCTCCTCTGTAGGTGTGAATGGCTTAACCTTTACCTTAAGAAGTTCCTCTTGGGTGCTAAAACTGGGATGAGGGTGGCGATATCTGCCTTCTCTGTATTTGTGGGTGATAAACTCTCTCCGCTGCTCTGGGGAGGCGTCACAGTCCAGCTCCTCAGTCACAGGAAGTCTGGCCGCCCAAAATTCATTGGCTCTATCATTGCCAAGCATTATGAAGAGCTAGAACACACAGAGATAAGAAAAACCTTGTGGTAAAATCACTGGGGATATCAGGAATCCTGATCATTGGAATAAAAAAAGATCTTTTCACAAAAAGACCTGTAAAAAAAAAAAAACTCAGAACCCACGGCAACCCTCTACCTGAACGATCTCATTGCTCCACACGCTGGTGTCTAGTTTCAGACTCTGCACTTTCGACACCATTGTGCCGAGACCTCGATGCTGGCCTGCAGGCAGACAGAACAAAAGAGGCACCACATCACTCTCCACGCACCATTCATTCTGTTTGTCCCACAAAGACTTCATGATACGGTGCCTCTGAGCCACTTTTATCTGTAGTATATGGCACAGAGGACTTCACATGAACTCTCAAATGAGCTTAGAAACTCTTAGCACCATCTGTATCAACCTTAACACCGCACTGCCCTTCCCCATACCAGCTAGTCACTGTTTGGAAAAGGCAAAACATCTCACACCAACTGTTTTGATGAATATATAGCTTAAATCAGCAGAATTCACAAGTTTACATGATAAAAGTCATCGAGCTGATAAGTCACCGCCACACACCTGCGCAGTTCTTGCAGATGACCACACAGAGATTGATGGATGCCCAGTCCGAATTGATGGCTTTGCAGTCTGCGCAGATCTTGTTGGACCTGTTGGACCAGATCTTCTCCGCCACCTCATAATCAGATAGTGTTTCCGCTATAGATTCCTGCAGGGCCTCCATCCAGTCCCTCTTCTCTCGCTCCGACTCTGCCGTAAAGCTGCAAGGATGCACACAACCCTCTTAATGCTCTGCCAGCATGGATCCGATTAATTGTCTCTAGTCTCTAGAGACTATCTCTTTATTTCAATAAAGTCTATGTATGTGTGTGTGTATTACAAAATATATACACGTTCAAACGTTTGGGGTCTGTAAGATTTTTTTTTTTTTTTACAATAAAATACTTTTATTCAGCAAGGACACATTCAATTGATCAAAAGTGACTGTAAAGACATTTATAATGTTACAAGATTTCTATTTTGAATAAATGCTGTTCTTTTGAACTTTCTGTTCATCAAAGAATGCTGATAAAATTGCCCTAGTGAAAAAAATATACTAACATATATTTGTATACTACAAATACATTTACATATTTATGGGCTTAATAAAAATACCCTGTAACTGAACTTTTAGTATACTAAACTTGTAAACTTAAATTCTGCTAAATTGGAACAACTAATTTTGTGCTTAATGCACTTTAATTGTGCGGAAGTAATGCTGAAGTCCAACTAAAGATATATTTTTCTGATATTATACAGAGATCATACAATCTTTATTTAGAGGATATTAAAACACATTTTAGACATAATATTAAGAAATATGCATTGTGCAATAAATAAATAAAGTTATTATAATTTTATATCAGCAAGTTTTAAGTGATATGTTAATAAATATGTTAATGGATTGGAAGTATACTTAGTATGAAAGATATGTATTTTAAATCAATTATAGCATAGGTTTTTTTTTACTAGTGAGTATCAGGGTTGCCACAAAAATATTAAGCTGCACATCAGTTTTCAAAATTGATAATAATAAGAAATGTTTCTTTAGCACCAGTAACAGCTACAGAAAATTTAGCTTAGCCATCACAGGAATGAATTAAATGTTAAAATACAAAGCAGTCATTTTTTGAATTATTTCACAATATTACTGTTTTACTCTATTTTCGATCAATTAAATAGGTATAAGAGAATTTCAAAAAAATCTTACTGACCCCAATCTTTTGAAAGGTAGCATAATTAAAATATTATTCTAAAATATAGAAATATATTAAATATTATTATGTATTATATATTTTTAAAGATATAACATTTTTAATTTCATGGGGTTTTTTTTATCAGCATATTTGTCTTGTTTTCCAGTAAAAACATCTAAATATCCTTAAAACAATTTATTCAATTTACTTGAGAATTAAAATGGTGTATGATAACAGGACTTGTTTTTATAGAATATGCCTTAGTGGCCAATTGATTTTTCTTGTTTCGATTTCAGACAAATCGGCAAATCCCTGATTAAACAACGTATTTGGAGATTTGGAAATGACTTAAAAGGGTAGACACGTACAAGCTACTTAACAGAAGCATAGCGTGACTTGAACTGTTTACCTGAAGGTTTTATAAGGTGTAATGAGATCAAAGCTCTTGCCCTTCCCATCACGAATTGTAGCACCTCTGGCCTCAATTACAGTAATTCCAATTCCATTTTTAAAGCACTGCAGAACACATATCACAAAGGGTCAGCCTTAAACCAAGAATTACTAGTAAAACCTCCATGACGCAAATGATTCGAGGCTAATTTTGAATGAATTGCACATATGCTATAGGAAGTTCAAAATGCTTCAGTATCGACAGGAAGTTCAAAAAACTCAAATTGCATCACACTGAGAGATGAAAGAGGCAAAGCAAATCATTGGCACTAAATCTAGAGTAGTATGGCTATAACGTGATTAACTAATCACCTGCTCACTCTTGTACAACCAGATCTGCTCCATTATAATGGCTGTGTAGATCTTTGACTTGGTTTTGAGCTCCAGGAAGCCGCTCTTTTGGCAGTGACTGCCGGGGCCAAAACGTGGGCGGCCAAAAACCAGCTGTTCTTTGACCCGCTCCTGCAGCGTGTTGCACCATTTGCACCTCTGAACTATGAAAAGAAATAAAGCAGGATCAATTGGTTTCTTTTGACCTAGTAAAATTTTAAATAAGTAAAACACTTTTCTAAACAATATTTTGCAATATTGTGCCATAATATGTGACCCTGGACCACAAAACCAGTCTTAAGTCGCTGGGGTATATTTGTAGCAATAAAAATACATTGTATGGGTCAAAATTAAAGATTTTTCTTTTATGCCAAAAACCATTAGGATATTAAGTCAAGATCATGTTCCATGAAGATATTTTGTAAATTTCCTACCGTAAATATATAAAAACTTAATTTTTGATTAGTAATATGCATTGCTAAGAACTTAATTTGGACAACTTGAAAGGCGATTTTCTCAATATTTAGATTTTTTTGCACCCTCAGATTCCAGATACTTTTCTAAACAATATTTTGCAATATTGTGCCATAATATGTGACCCTGGACCACAAAACCAGTCTTAAGTCGCTGGGGTATATTTGTAGCAATAAAAATACATTGTATGGGTCAAAATTAAAGATTTTTCTTTTATGCCAAAAACCATTAGGATATTAAGTCAAGATCATGTTCCATGAAGATATTTTGTAAATTTCCTACCGTAAATATATAAAAACTTCATTTTTGATTAGTAATATGCATTGCTAAGAACTTCATTTGGTCAACATTAAAGGTGATTTTCTTTAAAGGTATTTTGATTTTTTTTGCACCCTCAGATTACAGATATTCAAATAGTTGTATCTCGGCCAAATATTGTCCCATCCTAACAAACAATACATCAATGGAAAGCTTATTTATTCAGCTTTCAGTTGATGTATAAATCTAAATTTCTGAAAAATTGACACTTGAGACTGGTTTTGTGGTCCAGGGTCACATATATGTTTTTAGATGGCAGGTTATGTCAATACTATATCAATTTGCCAACATATTGAGATTTTTGGTCATGGGTTTGGATTCCAAGGGAATGCATGAAGTTATAACCTGAATGCAACGTAAAGTCGCTTTGGATAAAAATGCTGTGCTTACCATCATTATCAGCTCGGAAGACAAATGTCCTGTGACTTGTGACGACCTCAAATTTATTGTCTTTGGCTACGCGGGCCATCTGTATGGCAGCTAAGGGAATCACACCTTTGGGATAAGCATCCTGGGAGAAAGAGACCATTTGTGTTAGGAATAAGTGTACAAGCATATGTGACTTCAGAAACACAAGGGAATGTGGGAATTGTTTAGATTCTGAAGGGCTTCGGGCAGGCTGAAGTGATTAAAGGGGTCATATATCATGATGAATCGGTTGATTGTGCTTTGAAAACATGCTGCACTGTAACTTTGGGAGCACAAAACATCCTGCCCAGCCCAAAGAGACCATTTATTGTAAACCTGACATGACTATATAGTGTAACATAACATTTCCCAGATCAGCTGTGCTGAAAGGTTCAACACACACACATGCATTTGGTTGTCAATCAGCACCATCTATTGTTCTGGCAATTTGCTTTTCATTCAGCTCAATGAATATTGGTTTCACTCTTCCATTCATCAACGATTCATTAAGATTTCTTGTATCGTGTTTGGTGTGACAGGGCCTTTACACGTCAACAACATCTATTCAGTGTTGTTCACCTGTTTAACACACTATTCAATGTTGACAATATGGCAGGGGCTGATAAAAATTACATTTAACAGTAAACCTTTGCTCACACACATACAAAGATGGGATTTATGTCCAAGCAGTTCAGAGAGAGGGTGAAAAAACTACACTGGCATTCAAATGTTTGGGGTCAATAAGAAATTTATACTTTTATTAAACAAAGACACATTACATTGATCAAAAGTGACAGTAAAACATTTAACTTGTTATAAAAGATTTATATTTTAAATAAATGCTGTTCTTTTGGACTTTTCATAAAAGACTCCATCACAGTTTCCACAAAAATATTAAGAAACACAACTGCATTATTGATAATATTGTGCAGCAAATCAGCATATTAGAATGATTTCTGAAGGATCATGTGACACTGAAGACTGGAGTAATGATGCTGAAAATTCTGCTTTGCATCACAGGAATAAATTACATTTTAAAATACATTCAAATGGAAAACAGGTATTTTAAATTGGAACAATATTTCACAATATTGCTGTTTATCCTGTATTTTTGATTAAATAAATGCAGGTGAGCAATTTGGTCAAAATCATACTGACCCCAAACTTTTGAACAGCATTGTACATTATGACTGTTAAAGTGCAAAAAAAAAATGATATGAAATGAGTGATAGATGTATGATAATCATAAAACATTAGGATGGCACTGAGTTGTTGACATGCAATCATACCTTTTCACTACCATAGTACATCAAGTTCTTCCCATCAAACTTCACATATCGTTTCTGGAACACATAGTTTCTATAACAGAGGAACAAAGATGACATCAGAGAGAAACAACTACACTACAAAGGTCAATATAGTGCTGTCTGAAATTATTCAAGGAGGAAATGAATCTATAGACACTGGAAGACGTCAAGCAGAGGACAGGAACAAACAGCAGGAGACACAACATGTGAAGTAATGACAAACCGGTCGGAGAGGACAGACAGGGAGCAGAAACAGCCATTGAGGAGCGTGCAGGAGACGCAGAGATGAGAGGAGAGCAGCAGCCCCGACGGGGCGTACCCTTGAGGAGAGAGCTTGTCCAGCCAGCCGCTGAGGATGGGTGCCGCCCGCTCGGACAGCGAGGTGAAGCTGGCGTAGGGAGAGATGATGTGGTCCTCGTCCGCTTCGATGGAGCCGAGTATATGAGGGAGGGAGAACGAGTGAGAGGCCGGAGACGGTTCACCCACAGTGCAGTAGCCTGGAGAATCAAGACGCTTGAGCCACGAGTGATTGTGCTGCCTGTGAGAAGACGAAGTTAAAAATATAAACTGGACAGTAATATTACTACATGAAAAAAAAAAACGGTTTCATGTTCCAGTAAAATGATGGAAATCTCTTGAAAATAAGCGAAATAATAAAAAGCAAAAATGCATTTTTCAGTACATTTATTAAAGGAATAGTTCACCCAAAAAATTAAATTCTGTCATTAATTACTCACCCTCATGTCGCTTTTGGGTAAACTATCCCTTTAAGCATAAATAAAAATGTAGTGAGATTTATGCTAATAACATGGCAAAATTGTCAGTGTTCAAAAAATATATATATATATAATATAATATAATATAATAATTATTATTATTATTAAGCAAAATTAACGGTTCAAAATATTTTCTAAAAATTGTAATATTTTTATTTTTATTGTTGTTGTTGTTGTGAAATAAACCATTCAAGAAATATTTTCTAAAATATTATTATTATTATTATTTCTTTTTTTGTAGTTGTTACTACAATCTTAATTAATTAATTTCATATAAAAATGGAAAGATAAAGATCTCAGTGGATGAAACAGTCTACTGAATCGAAAAAATAGGGGTGTGTGAGAAAAATCACAACATTTTAAAAAACTAACATTTTAAAGAGTTCAATATCAGAATGTGCTTCTACATCACTTCTTGCGCAAGCTTCAGGACGCACTTGCATCAAGCTTCACAATGTGCTGTTGTAGCGCTTCATGATGCTATCATGAAACTGTGTATGACAACTGGCTGGAAGCGATGGTTTATTGTTTAAAAAGTTTAAAATGTTAGGATAATCCATAAGGGTGTGGTTGCATGGATTACTATCGTGTTCATTTTGCATGGATTTTTAGGTATCGGCTTTGAGGGTTTCATCCACTTGCATTGTATCTCTGCCACTCCAGAGATAGATTGCTTTTCTATCAATTTTAATTTGTGTTCATCTGAGGAAAGAAAGTCATATACATCTGGGACAGCATAAGGGTGAGTGAACGATGACAGAATTTTAATTTTCGTGTGAAGTATCCCTTTAAGACATTAAAGCCAATTTGTTTTATTAAAAACATCCATCTTTGCCTCACAGATCCAGACCCTTGCACTGGAAGCTCCGGACTCACACGTTTAGACAACAGAGGCTGGAAGACACTAGAGCTCAACCAAGAAAACACATTGACTCTCTTTATCCTATTGTTTTAGGTGTCACTATGTGATTAGCAGCTGGATATAACGCTGTGGGCAAACCAAACATTCTGCAGTCAATTTTAACTCTCATGGAAATACTTGGACTTACCCATGTTCTCTTTGTTTATCTTTTTTATTTGCAGTCTTTTCCTCACTTTTGGTCCTCTCAACCTAAACACATTCAAACATAAATAAATTCCACCTACTGGAGTACATAAAGTGAGAAAAAAATGGTTTAAGAGAGAATTTTTACTTAAGTATCTCACCTCTGAATGCTGATATTGTCGTCTGCTGTAGAAAACAGTTTCACAGTACGGGTTGATCATTTCATCTTCATCCTCAGCAGATGCTGTGTCGCCTGAACAGAAAATAGCAGCATTACATAAATTCATAAGATAAAATAAATGATTAAAATGCTAAAAATCCAACTCAAGTCTTCTTTAGCCATATGACAGCATAGTGTGTAAAGCACATTAAAGCCACTGTTTAATGAAAATCTTCCTATCCAGCATAGCTCTCAAATCATAACATAAAAAGGCAAATATGCACAAGTGAGGCAGTAGGTTGATAATGGATGGCAAGCTTTTAGCGCATTTCACTATTGTTCAAAAGTTTGGGGTTGGATAAGATTTTTTATGTTTTGTATGTATGATCACCAATGCTGCATTTGTTAAAAAATATACAGTAAAAAAAATTATAATATATAGTAATTTTGCAAAATATTATTACAATTTAAAATAACTGTTCTGTTTGAATATATTGAAAATGTAAATGATTCCTGTGCTGCAAAGCTGAATTTTCAGCATCATTACTCCAGTCTTCATTGTCACATGATCCTTCCGAAATCATTCTGATGATTTATTACCCTCTTTAACTTTATATTATGCTGATTTGTGTTCATCTGCTTCTCCCATTTGCTCTTTATTTATTACCCTCTTTAACTTCATATTATGCTGATTTGTGTTCATCTGCTTCTCCCATTTGCTCTTTTTACATTGACTATCACTCTATATAGACTAATACAATCAGATACAACAATAATTTTATTACAATATACACTGATAAATTTAACATTCACTTCAGTGGTATGAGATGGCTGGATGCTTTCAACTGATTTCCTACTGAACCGTCACCAACTGAATTGCAGTGGTCAAACTATTTAAAATATAGTGAATTAAGCTACAAACTCAATCATAAAGCACAATGTTTACATCTAACATGTATTTTGAGGTGAAGCTCGTCATTTTAATGGAGTGTTTTCACTGGTTAGCAGTAAACTTATTTTCGGAATGGAAATATGGATGTTTTATTTGTAAACATACTTTTTTCGCTTATTTCAGTTAATGTCATTAAACTAGCGAGCTAAGCCAGTAGAAGTACTGACATGGCTGAAGACGGCTGAAGCGGAGGAACAGACAAACCGATTCAATTGAGTGAGTCATATTATGCTGGAACAACTCCGATTGATTCAAACATTTTGGTCAATCAATTGAAGCGATTCACTAGCAAAAAAACTGATCAAAAGAGCATTTAATTTTTGAATTTCGACATTGCTTGTATTGATTTTAAAAAGCACGTATAGTCAGATATAGTTATGGGTGAGCTTTTTGGATCGTGTATAGTGAATCAATTGATTCAGATCAGGACTTCAAAGCGTGTATAGCTTATCATTTGATTTAAATCGGGGCTTCGGAGTGGGTTCGCAAATCATTTGATTTAGAACGTAACTTCGCGTATTGTGAATCTTTTGATTTAGATCGGAACTTCGCATATTGTGAATCTTTTGATTTAAATCGGAACTTCGGAGCATGTTTGTGAATCTTTTGATTTAAATCGGAACTTCGGAGCATGTTTGTGAATCTTTTGATTTAAATAGGAACTTCGGAGTGAGTTCGCCAATCATTTTGCAAATTGAATGATTTGCGATCTGCGCTCCAAAGTCCCAATTTGAATGATATGGCTAGCGAATCTTTTGATTCAGATCGGAACTTCGGAGCGCGGATGATCACAAATCCTTTGTTTTAGATCAGAACTTTGGAGCGTGTTCGTGAATCTTTTTATTCAGATAGGGGCTTCAAAGCGGGTTTGCGAGTCATTTTATTTAGATCGGAACTTCACGTATCGCGAATCATTTGATTCAGATTGGGACTTTGGAGCGGGTTTGTAAATCTTTTGTAATAATAAATATCTATATTCATCATGTGTCCTCTTAAGGTGAAAAAATATGGTTACTATAGTTTAGCCATGGTATTTGTAGTAAAACTGTGGTTATACAAAAAAAATGATTACTACACTTTTACTGTTGTGCTGCTAAATATTTTTGTGGAAATTAAATAATGATCTACTTTTTTAGGATTCTTACAGAAAAGAAAGTTTAAAAAATAGCATTTATTTGAAACATTATAAATGTCTTTACCGTCACTTTTGATCAATTTAATTGCTGAAATAAAAACTTCAAAAGAATAAATAAAATTGTACTGACCCCAAACTTTTGAATAATAGTGAATACATTAAGCCTATACATATACACACTCTCATCTGCTCTTCACACAAATACTATATATTGTACAACTTCGTTCACTTTCATTGTACAGAAAACTACATTGTTCATTCGTTGGAAGAAAGAAAGTCATAAATATTAGGAACAACTTTAGGGTGAGTAAATAATAACATTTTCCACAACAAAGTTTGAAATAAGGGTCAGTAATAAACCTACCAGATGTTCTTTTAGGTGTTTCAGTTGAGTTAGACTTTTCTAAAGTGCTATAGGAGGAGAAACTATAGTTAGCTGTATAAAGATAAACAAAACTTTGTCACAGTCATAAGAATAACAATACAACAGAATGACAAGATTTAACAAGAGTTTACCTATGATTTTCAGTGGATGGGCTAACCTCCTGGCGTGGAGGCGGAACGGGTACAGAGCGACTCCAAAACACACGTGGAGTGCCTGGTAAAGTGCCACAGTAGATTTCATTAGAGACCATCTCTAGCCCTGAGCAGGGTGGACTTGGAGGTGAACCGAGCATGTTAGTGAAGGGAGAGCACTGATAACTCGAGGGGGAGTCAGGAGGGGTGCTCAGACGCTCCTGGTCTGACATTTTCCTGAATGTGGATGGGGGAATTCCTCGATTTAACCTAGGGGGCACTGGGGGTAACGGATCACTAGTCTCTGGGGCCGAAGTGGTATTACTCAAACCTGATTCGCAAGGGCCCTTTTTTGATTCAGTAGGTGTTTCAACAGTGTCTGTACTGGAGGATGAACCTTCTGCAACTTTTAAAAGCGGGTCCTGAGATGACTTTTGGTGAGGTTGCACTTCATGTTGTGTTGGTAAAGAAATTCTCTCTGCTCTTAATCTGTGGAAGACAGTTCTTGGTTTTGGTACCGGCTTTACGACACTGGCGCTCCGCTCTGAGAACGAGCGCTTCACTTGTGCACAAAGATTCGGGGCCGAGCTGTTACGTAAGGCTTCTAAGGCAGTGCTAGGGTGTCTTGAAGGAGAATGAGGCTCCGCTTTGACAGGGGTCACCTCGTGAATAGCAGAATCTGAATTACAGCGATCTAGCGAGGGCTCTTTCCTTTGATGTTGACAGATCAGCTGAATGTGCTCGACCAGTTTGAGGATACGCTTCCTGTGGCCGGTGGCAGTGACTCCCACCCTGTTCAGAGCCACATTGTCCACATGACAGAAGTCTCGGGCGAGGAGAAAGCCTGCCTGACGGAAGTGGTCCAGATACCTCTCGAGGTGGATGGAAGCCAACAGGTCCTCTGCATCTGAGCATGGACCGATTGTTGTTGCCATAGTGTGCATGGGTGCTCATTAGGCTGCATGCAAAACAGCAGCAATTCCAGCCAAGAGCAGAAGACGACACCAGTCCTTCATCTGAGAAAACAAGCAAAGAAAATAGGCTTCATTGCAAAGAAAAGACCTCTTTAAATGGATAGTTCACAAAATAAAAATTCTGTCATTTACATCAAATAGTTGATGGCAGCCATTGACTTCCATAGTATTTTTTGTCCATACTATGGAAGTCAATGGCTACCATTTTTACTATCACTAATCCACCAATAATTTGATCTACCCTCAGTCCAGCACATAAATAATATATAAAATACATTATATTATACAAACAAAGACTAATGGAAGTATGTAAAAACACTCAGTCATAAACAATGAACACTCATCAGAAATTGCTGCAATACAAAAGATTAATGTGGACTTCCATAACCCACAACTGTATTGCAAAAATATAATGAAAATGTCCCTGATACTCGCTTAAGATATCATAAATTTAAAGGTATGCTATATCATTCCATATGAGAGTATGAAAAAAATAAACAGTTTTGGAAATATGTGAAAGAAATGACAGAAAAGATCCTTGATGTTAATATTCCATTGTGATGTTTACTTTTTTTTTGTTTCATTTATACCATAAGGAGATTGATTTAAAAAAAGAAGAAAATGTATGTTCATAAACATATAGCCTATCCTGCAAGTAAAACAGCTTATTACTTTACACTGAAAATATATTTGAGCATATATTGTAACAAATATGTCAATGTAAAAGAAAACACATTCTTAAAATATGGTGGTGTTAGTGAAGTGCTAACAGAAAACTAAGAACAGAGGTGGTAATGAATATTATTGTAAGGTACGGAGATGTTTTGTGTGTGTGTGTGTGTGTGTGTGTGTGTGTGTGTGTTTTGTTTTCTTGTTCCTGTTCTTTGTTATATGCAAATACTTGTGTACATGTGCACAGTTAAAATGTCATTAAAATAATGGAGAAGGAATAATAAAGATTACAGTAGATTTTTACATAATAAAAATAATAAACAACAATAATTTGTCTGAAGTCTTGCTCCTTGGTTTTTTGTTGTTGTTTTTTTTGCATATTTATTTTGTGTTCATCCTGGTGATCGTGTTATACGTTGTTGGAATTTCCCTGTTTTGCGTTGTACAATTAGCAATAAAAAAACAATATATTATTATATAACAATAATATTATCCATATTATTTTCATTATGCATTTTAATAATACAATAATACAATTATTATACTAAAATTGTGCCTAAATGCAAAGACAACCAGTAATTTAAATCTTACAAAATAATTAATGTCCACCTTTGTAAGTTTGACAAACAAAAGACACGGCTGATAGTTGCAGGGAGGTTAATGGTCTTTTATGACAGAACATTTTTCATCCGCCTGAGACTGAATCACCCTGACATTTGCAGACGATGGCATGACCCCGCTCATAGACTCTTAAAACCACTGCACTGGAACAAAACAGTCATTGAGCGAACAAAAACAAATCTTTGTACCATCTGAAAATGAGCATTCAGGTTGAACACAAATGGGAATATTACAGTATCGCAAACCATGATAAGCTGTAACACGGCGCACATGCAAGCAATAACAATACGGTCATATTTCTTAGGACTATTTTTCGAAGCCTCCATTCATTGAGGGAAAGCTGTTGAAAACGTGGTGCACATGAGGGAACCAGTCGAGAAAAAAAGACTCCACTAGGGTGGGCCTGGGAGAAAATCCACGTGGGTGGGGCAAAGCTTGTTTGGCGGGGATGGCGTAACTTTGGGAGCGACCAAGTGCGAATGCTTTTTTATAAACATTCCTGACACTTTCCTGACTGCGTGTCCAAAAGACTGACAGCACTTGAGAACGGTGGCCTAAGAGGAATCTCAAGGCTATACGAGTGACATACAGCCAAACCCAGGAACAGAGCTGCTAGATTCCATGACCTCCAGGGGAGGGCGGAGCCTGACGGGTGGGAGTGATGATTGGATAAACGCTCATCACAGGGTGTACATCTCCAACCCACAAAGGATGCACAGTGTTCTCTCTCAAGGACATCTCAAATTGGAGGTAATTACGAGCACGCTTTCTATTTGCGGCAGAGATCGCAATCGCTCCACTGCAATTATGAAACACGATAAAAAGTCAAAAATGTGTTAAAATGCCACAATAATGTCAACATGGTCTATTTTGCTCAACAACACTGAGTCGGAGTAGAAAAGCAGACGTTGGAAGGCTGTTAAAAAAGGCTGATGAGTCATATCCTCGTCTTCCTTTGTCTGGACTCTGGATGCTAACCTTTGGCTCGGCCACTCTGATTCACCGGATCCCACGGTGAGGGGGGAGGCAGGAAGCTTGTGAGGCGGACTGATAAAGTGTGACCTGAGGAAAGGAGAGAAACGGGTCCGGGTGTTGTCTTTTTCCCCTAGCAGCAATGTAGAAAAACTCCCTTCAGCAAGACTGTCATCGTGAAGCCAAACAAGACAACCAGTGGCAAAACATCTGCAATTAATTCAGCCTGAAGCCATTAATATACAGACTCCTTTCAGATTTGTTCTGTAGATAATATCTGCCTGCTTTTGCTTTTTGCAAATTGTAAATTTTTACATAACTTACATTAAAGTTTGAAAATTTCTTATTAACTTGTTCAGAATTCAAAATGTCACTGGTAGTGAGGATGTCATTGTAAAATTTGCTGACTATATTGCAGCTGGTCTTCTCTCTTACATCTGTTTGCATGCCAAATTATGATTGGTCTTTTCTTCTTTGCATCCACTTTCCACAGCAAAGTGATGACTGTGTGTTGATTCGTGTTTAAACATGTATTGTGGAGTGTCATGAAAATGACAAAGTGGCTCTGAATCAGCGTTTCATTTAATCTACTGTTGAAAAGTTTTTTCTTTGAAAGAAATTAATAATTTTTTTCAGGAAATGATGGATGAAACTGATCAAAGATGGCAGTAAAGACATTTATGATGTTACAAAATATTTGTATTTCGAATAAAAGCTGTCCTTTTGTATTTTCTGTTAAGAGTCCTAAAAAAAGGTATCAGGGCTTCTGCAAAAAATATTAAGCAGGACAATTGTTTCAACAATGACAAAAATAAGAAATGTTTCTTGAGCAGTAAATCAGCATATTAGAATGATTCCTGAAGGATCATGTGACACTGAAGACTGGAGAAAATTCAGCTTTGCATCACAGGAATAAATGACATCTTAAAATATATTAAATCAGAAAATAGCCATTTTAAATTGTAATAATATTTCACATTACTACAGATTTTACTGTATTTTTGTTCAAAAAATGCAGCCTCTGTGAGCAAAAGAGACTTCTTTCAAAAACTTAAAAAATTCTTGCTGACCCCAAAATTTTGAATAGTACTGTACCCAGAATCAAAGCTTAAAAGCTTACACTTTTTGCTTTCTTCCTCACAATCAGTGGCATTTCCTTCATCTAATTATGGATTTGCTTCACCAAACTGACTGTAAGTACAATTTCTTTACACCTTAACAAAATAGCTATGTTCATGGATTTTTCAGTGACATCACACAGCCGCATTACCACATTTACATCACATTTTATCAGGCTGACATGCAGACTCCCAATGTTTGTTTCAGTTTGCAACTACATGTACTACAGTTATAGTTTTGTGCTTAAGACAGGGAATATTTTGTACAGAAAAAGGAAACCACGAAAGATCAAAACCACAATTTCTCAATTTTACAGCACACAGTGCATTAGATTTGCAACTGATTTGCCACCCAACAACAGACAGCACAGCAAACCGCCATCTGTTTATTTGTATTACTATTAATATTATAGCCTATATTTAGGGTTAAGGATTTGCACAAACCAAGAAGCCTAAATATTAAACCATTACCAATACCTCAAACCATGCAGCTTGTTGAGAAAAGGCTATTTCTTTTAGACTTACAAGTACAGAGCGAACATGATTTTTGCCTAATGGATGATAAAATGGCCAAAAAAGAGTTCATAATATAATGTTATGACTTGGGCCAGAAGTAACCATCACAAACACCCTACAACCTTACAAGAAAAGGCTGTGATGGACGCGTCGGAACGACGCACTATAAACGGGGTGTTTGTCTAATCAGTGAATTCCCTCCACCGAGTGCCCTGGGGATCCCGCCGGGGGAAGGGACACTTGCAGATAAGAGCCTTGATGATTGAGGAGACGGTCTCAGGCAGGCCTGTTCTCGTAGATGAAGGTCTAGACAAGGTTAAGATGGTGGCTGGGACCAGCAGGACATACCATCTTATTCCAGCAGCATCTTCAAATCATCCTCCACATCTCGCAAAGCAAGATGGCTACCATCTCAAACAACAATCAACGTGCATTTAGCTGGGAAAACTATGCCCTGCTCTGCTCTGTCCGCCCCACCCCAACTATATTTATCTTGATGGCCGATCTGGGTTTTCTCCGAACTACTGAATACACAGGATACAGCTGTCCCTCAAACAAAACCCTCCTCCTCTCTCCCGCGCTAGAGGAAAAGAGATACTGTGCATGATACACAGATGAACTGGAGATCATCGCAGCCATCTGAAACCATAAGAAAGGTTGTACCCATTGATAATGTTGCATGAAATGAAACTGATTTGAATGAGGCGGCACATATAAAACCTAGAAAGTACTTTCACACAATCTACAAACTGTGACTCCTTGACAAGCTCTTCTGATTCTTAAAAACCGCCACAAAACACCTGAAATTTGAACCATTTTACATAAGATAATCATGTAAATGCTAGACACCAAAGCAACTGAGAATAAGTCTTTTATGGCTTTTAAAGGCACATCAGCAATCACACTGAGTTTACGCAATAAAAGAGCCGCTCATTCTCATCCAATGAGACAACTGTGTGCGGTCATACACATTTCCTGTACCCTTTTGGAACCGTATTACCAAATTAAGCCAGTGATGATGCATGAAGTGAGCAAATAAGACTTGCGTTAATATGAGCTACTAACGTAAGCAATCACTGTACATAGACACGTTATGACACGTTACCACACATTTTTCGCTTATTATTATATTATCACCGTGGTCAGAGGTGGAGACCTGCGCAAGGAGAGTTTTAAAGTGCCAAAGGGGGTGCGCCATCCCCAGTAGCACTATCTTCACCATGATGAGGTAAATCCCGGTGGCAAGGGTGGTCCCAGGACAACCGGTCCCCCATCTTGGCTGCAGGAGGTTGCCGGGTCCTTCATCTGTTAAAGGCCCACCTACTGTGCACCTCCAGTGCATTGCTTTTCTGTCAGGGGTGCTCCCTTAGCCTTGTCTCAATAGACTTACCACAAGGCTGTGGGGCTATTTGCCCATAGCTGGGACAGTGTCAACCACCACTGTATGATAAACACAGTAGATCAACCGTGCTTGCAATAAACCTCATTGTTCATCATATAAAAATTATCTTCAGAAGACTTGGATTAAACTGTTCGATTCATATTGGATTACTTTTATGATGTTGTTTGTACATCAAAGTTTGGGTTTGCATGGACTTTCAATTGATGCAGAAATCTCTCAGGATTCTTTAAAAACATACCTTAATTTATGTTTTAAAAATGAAAGAAGTCCTAGGTTTGGAATGACATGAGGATGTGTAATTTATGACAGAAGTTTCTTTTTTTTGGTAAACTAACCCTTTAAGCTCTCTTAGTCTGGTATTTCCGCAACCTACATTTTTATGTCTGTAGCCTTTTTTGGCAGGTTTACCAAATGTCAAGTAACTCGAGCAAAACATGTGTTGAATTTTCAATTACTTACGTTGTTCATGCTTGCAATATTTTTATTTATTTATTTTGCATAGTCCATAAGTCATAAGCACTAATTCCAACTGATGCCAATCATGCTGTGAGCCCCTAAAAAGCTGTTTCAATTCCACCCAGTTGATTCATGAGAAATTCATGTGAAAACAACACAATCTCAAACCATAATGGAATGGAATGGACTAGTTGCCCAGAACTTAATGGGAAGGAAACACTTCTGTGACAGAATGATCCCTAAATGATCTTGGGTTTCTATCTGAACAGTAATCTTTATCAGCAGGACAATTACTATTTGCATTTCAAATGATGTTTCATACTCTCGAGAGATTCAAACAGCACCACTTTTGAAGTTCTACATCTCGACAGTACATGCAACAGGAAGTGAAGACATTAGCACACCATTCAATAAATGGCACAGGCACAGACTAACACATAAATCAAATAAAGCCTCGGCTAATGTAATTCAGTCTCATGGGAGGACAGTGAGAATGCAGTTTAATTGAGTAGGCCTAACTTTTTTTAAGTGCTTTTATTTCTGTTTGTTGTTATTCTTTTGCATGATGATTTGTTGTTGTTTTTATTTTTATTAATGGAAAAGCATGCTTCGTGACCTGTTGATAGCACTGGTTTGTGGGTTGTGATGGAGCCAAAGGAGAAAAACATCTAAACATCTTTCCCTCTCATATCCTACTCAAACATCCCTGGGCTTCCAGAACGAACAATTAGTGGAAGCTGTAGAGTCAAAAGCAATTTGTGCAACGCAGGAATCAAGGAGGCTTTTGGGATGCAGTGTGCTGGGGGGTGTGTATAAATAACAGTCAGTCACTATTGTGTGACACAATACGTCATTGTTCACAACTGGTGGAGGCCGCGTAGCTGAGATGACAGAACACACTTGTGTATTAATAATATGCTGGACCCTTGCTCAAACACATATTGAGATCTCAGTTCCCTAACTCGATTGAAACCACACTGCTGCAAGATAACCTACGCTTTCACATTAAAGCCATATCAGATCGCGTAATGCCCAACAAAAACAGCCAATAACAAAGAGAAAATTCAAACTAAACCGCAAATATTGAAGCAGCCGATGCATGCGCATAAAAAAAAAATGAAAACACAAATTTCATCAAAATCTTCCTCTCTATTTATTTTTTACATATGTTTATTTTAATAATTTGTTGCATTCATTTTTTTCCTGCATTGCAGTTAATTTGCCATTGGCAATTTAATTGTTTTGCTTGCTTTTATATTATTATATTATAATAGATTTAGATTGCATTATATTACATACAATCCTGAAATTTTTTTATGACTGTTTCCAGAAAAATATTAAGCTGCATAACTGTTTTCAACGTTAGAATAAGAATATGATGATGATTTCTGAAGGATCATGTGATACTGAAGACTGGAGTAATGATGCTGAAAATTCAGCTTTGCATTACTGTAATAATTTACATTTTAAAATATATTAAATTAGAAAACAGTTGTTTTAAATTGTAATAATATTTAATATTAGTGTATGTACTGTATTTTTATCAAATAATTGCAGCTTTGGTGAGAAATAAAACTATATAGGATATGAGCAGAGCTGCAGAATCAGAATAAATACAGTAGATTAACTAAATGTCTGCAATATTTCAAGAATAATCATACATAATAAAAACACTGGATTAGATTGTAAACTTAAAATCAAAAATCACATCCAGAACCCTTATACGGGTCATTCCAGTGGTCAAACCTCTGCCAGATCTGAAAATATGTCCCATCCTCCAAGTATCACGAAGAGCAGTGAGGGAAATACAGGTCAGATTATGCAACAAGAGATTTATCACAATTAATACACTCACCCATGTTGTGAGAACTTAATCTGCATTTAAGAATCTGCTCAGTTAGAGATATGGCATATACAGGGGTGTAAGAACAATTTTAAAAGTACAAACCTGTAGGCTACTTTAAAGGTAATAATTTCTCCCAAAAAGTGTGGGCTAATTGTAGAGCTTCTCCCTATCAGGCATATAAACTTGCTGAATGAAAATGTTTTCTGCAGAGTCCTCCAAAATGGCATGTTATTCTTGCAAATTCCCCGGTGACTCCCACAGTTGCTGTGTCTATAAGGGACTGGCAAATTAGCTCTGGGTGTTTCTAAATCAGTTTAAACTAAACTGTGGCATTCAGCGGGTGTAAAGCTTGTGGATAACGGATTCCTCAGTGAGTAACACCCTACAGAGCCAATCTTACAGTATATGTTACAGTGCAGTGCATGAGGATTCAATGCACTGCTGCAACTGATCCTGACATGAGAATCAATGGAATTCCTTCTGAACAGTCAACACTCTGCTGGGTCATAGTTAAACTCACGACCTTAACTAAAAAAGTAAGCTTCACCTGACAGCACTTTTACCTTTTTCACAAAGTCTGGGATAATTTCAGACCACCAAGACTACGGAAAGCGAGTTATAATAATAAATGATCATTAAAAGTTGGAACATCTAACAACTTTAAACAGTGGACAGCCTTCAGATATGAATCAAACTGCCCGCTACAGATCTAACGTTAACTTAGACTTGTTAGATGTTATCAGATGTCAGTTTGAATGTAAATATCGCATCTTACCGTAATTGATTCGCGTTACATATTCCAGTTATATCGCGCTGTGTTGATGCGGAGCGTTTTAAACTCCAGTAATGTGAGACGTGCAGGAGAAAGTTTGAGTGTTGAGCCGCTGATAGTTGTGTTTGTTATGCCGGGGGTTTCAGAGCACTGCGCTGCTGAGCATTAACTGACCTCTTAAAGGGACAGAGACGTGTGTGTCGACAGTTTAATCTCCATACTGTTAGCGTTGGTCACTCAGGCCACAAAAAAAATAATTATAATGGTTTAAAGGACACACACAATTAGCCATGTTACAAATGGTTTTAAATCATTTTCTTTCAACTGCAATAAAGAATCACGCTTTAAATGGAAAAATTACATGTGCAAGCAGTAAGCTAAGTTGTGGTACAAAAACTTGAAAAATATTAGCATTTTCCAGTTTCCCTCAGGAATATGGGTTTTAAACTGACTGTTAATTTATGATAAGGGCTGCCTGAATTAAGTAACTTTCACGTGTTGTTCTGAAATATAAACTAGCTACACACAGTCATGTTGCTAAATAAGGACTACAACTATCACAAGGATGTGAGTTTACCTTCTGTTTCAGTCAGACAACAATTGTAGTCCTTATGCTAATTAGCTGTATGGTTTGGCCTGCAACTCGAAACAAATAGGCCTACAGACAGTTTTTAAAATACTCAACATTACCTGATTATTGGTGTTTCTAAATACGTGTACGTGGCCCTTCTGGAATATGAACACAACCAATAGGCTACTACTTTATTTAATAATGTAGGCTAATTTTTACAAAAAATCGATGTTGTCTTTTTTTTCCTTAAAGTCATGAATATTTTCACCACAATGTCTTTGCATTAGCCTATGTAATTGTTTTACAGCACTCTGAGATGTAAAGGTCATTTTTTTAGAATAAAATGGCAGCTATTTGTCTTTTAAATGCTAGTTTAATAGCTATCATTTTGTGTATCTTAAATACATATTTAAATAATATTTTAACTTTGCATATTTTTATTAAATTAAGGCTTGAAATGACACACATCACATAGGCTATCTCATATATCATCCCAAGCATGCTTTTTACTGACATTGACTGACACCTTGCTAACAAATACACTCACTTCATATCTATAAATATAGCTCTATCGAATATTTCCAGCATTCTTGCAAATCCTACAGTGAAAATCTTGTACTGTCATATTATGTGACGTCATGAGTATTCTGGTAAGTTCACAGTAGGGTGTGTTTATAAGTGTGGGTTTTTAGGTTCAAAATGAAGATGATGTGAAGAAAGGCATGATCTGTGCTGCAAAAGCAATAGGACTTTGTTGTGAGAGAAAGCCGGAGGGTTCACTTATGGAGTTTCCTCTTCTCCCCTACAGCCCAATCTGATTGATGTAGGCAGGAAGTGTTTCAAATGGGAAGCAGGAAGTGTCTGAGACAATAGAGGTTTTGAGGAGTGGTCCCCAGCTGTACGTTTATGGATGAAGAAAAAGGATACCATTGTGAATAAACCTTCCTCACTGCCAAAAGAAAGAGGAAAGCATTTCTATTCAAACAACAAATCCTTAAAGCTGAGATGAACAAAAGTTCATTTCTAAATGGTCATCATAAATAAAAATACTAAACAGAATTTCCCTCAGCATTATATAACTTGTTGGATACAAATGCTGAGTACAACTTATGATATCTAGCATGACTTATTATCATTTGTATTAGTATTAGTAGTAGTAATATTATTTATTTATTTATTTGTTGAAAGTAGAGTGTTGCATAAAGAAAATATATTTCCTTATATATTATCAGTCAATATATTAAATTATTTAATGTATACAGAAAATTTACTGAATATGTTGTATTATTATATTACAATATATTCAGTTATAGACGAGGAATTGCCACTTTTAGTACTGTATCAAAAAAGATGTGACTATATTGATATCGTAATGTATGTAATTTTATGTTCAATTATACTTTTACAAATATTTCAATATGTGATAGAATATGATACTGTGTTTATAAATATATATAAACATATTTATATATATAAATATATATATATATATATATATATATAAACAAATATATATAGCATATATATGCTATTTACATGTTCACATTTATATATAGTTATATATAGACAATATATATATAGTGTTATATATTAGTTATAACCATGTTGTCATGATTATAACTTATGTTTTAGTAAACACCTTTTTTATATACCATCGCGTACTGTATATTTCATATGAAATGTACAACTATGCAAACAAAGTGAAATAAAACTTTATACATATGTGTTCAGCTTTGTGTAAAACTTTAACTAATGAAAAAGAAATGAATTAATTGAGTGTTTCAATAATGCTATTGCATGTATAAATGTAGTTTTTCTTCATTGTTATATTTTTATGTTTCAGAATATAACCATACATGTTCCATGCGTATATTGCAGTATATTGAACAATATAAGCACTGGTTTCCGATGGATTGTATTATTTCATATATTGAATTATATTTGTCCAGTATATTTTTGTTTCATAAGGGATATACAGATAAATACTTCCAAAAAGCTAGTTTTAGAAATACAAGAGCAAACTTTTTATTCTTCAGACACTGAGAAAAAGGCCACTGAGTTAAAAGCACACATACAGATCCTAATGTACTACACAGAATTGATTTTTACTTTTCAAGGCAAGTGCAATACACATCTCTTTGTCACTTCAAAGAAAAAAGGGTGGAAGTCCTTGCAATCTCACACAGGAAATCTTCACCTCAGAATGCATCAGTTGCATTACTGCTTGACAGAATGACAGAATGAGTTGTGCGCCATTTAAGTAATTTAATAAAGTTACATGGGTCACAATAATACAATACATCTGCATTGTGCACTGGAAACGTTGAGTAATAAAGTTATTACACTTCCAAAGTATTTACTGACACTGTTTAAGACGTTTTACACTGAATGATTTGATCATACACTAAAAAACGTATCAGTTAAACACGTCTAATACAACCAGACCCTTCCTCAGTGTATGGACATACTGTAGAATGGAGGACTTGAAATCTCTGCAAAACAATATAATGTTATTTTGTTCAATCCAAGGAATGCATGATTTACAGGATGAATGCAAGGGAAGCATCCTCGTCTGAGAATGTGGCTTTCGCATACACACAGAACACAGGAGAGTCAGTGTGAGTTATCTTAGGTCTCATCATCATCGCTGTGGTGCTGGGCTTTCTCCTCACTCACACTGCTCTCGTCGATGTTCTCCAGAGAATCTGCTCTCTGCACTGTCAGGTCAGCCACATTGATGCAGGGTAGCGTGTTCTGCTCTGGGTATCTCCAAGGCTTCAGATTGGGCTCGTGTTTCCGCTTCCACTCCGGGTACTTTAGGCAGGCTTTGTAAATCTTTTTCATTGCCTGTGGAAAAAAAAGGTTGAAAGATCTGGACCATGCATTTTATAGATGCTTTTATTTTCAAACTTGGCCGTTCTAAAACATCTTGTATGAGATGCACATTTCTAACCACCAGATGGCAGCAGAGGAAAACTGAAATTTGGGATTGACAGCATGAGCTTGGCTGTTGAGTACTATGTAACTTTTTCAGTGTTCAAAATTTGCAAAATGTATGTAATGAGCGAGTACATCATGAATTCTTCTTCCAAACCGCGTTTTTGTCTTATTCCGAATCCCTACGGTACACTTATAATAAGTACTTATATTTGGACTATTGTAGCCTGGTCGGGTCGTCACCGCTGCGGAGTAACACATACCTGCGTGAATCGCCATAGACATAAACTTAGAGAAGTAGCTCCGGTTGGAATATTCTTCCGCGGGATGTGTGCAGTTCTGTTTATTAACCGCTAGAGCGCCAAAAGTTACATAGTGCTGCTTTAAGCAGTAATCAGTAACTTGGGTCATCAAAGGAATTATCTACATTTTCAAAAATAGTATTATTAAAAGTTATATAAATAGAAATTCAGTTCAATAATAGTTCACAAAAATACTGTTTCTGAGGCTTCTTTTCAAACCAAACACAAATGTATTTATTAAATTTCCGTATATGAAATGTATTGTCGTATGAAGTAAAAACATATGTGAAACCTAGTAGAAATTGAAACAATTTTATATATTAACATAACCAATACAATCGTATTATACATATATGCCATGTACATGTATATCCATCCTAACCCCATCAATACATTTTGATATTACATAAGTAAATATAAAGGACAGACATATATTTTTAAAAGAATATTACAAAAACATATATAAAACATACAGATTTTTGTGTATGTTTTTAATAAAGTTAAAAAAGCATATATAAATAAAAACTATATTGTTGATTGTTGATTTATATTATTGTGTAAAAATATATTGTTGACATATATTGTTGCAATATATATTACCATATGAAAAAAATCATTATATAGATATTATTAACATATGTACATATACACATTTTACTATGGGGATTTTATATATATTATAAACTTATATCCTCATCTACCCAGAAAATGTGTGCATGTAAAAATTATATATTGCCTTATAGGTAACAGATATGGCACTATATATTACATTTCCATGTGGGAAAACATTAAAATATCTTACCAACCCCAACTTTTTGAATGGTATTGTATGTACCATTCGTAAACAACATTTTTAGAATCTCAAAATGCTGAAAAGTTAATTTCTTTACACATATCATGCAAATAAATTATGTAAAATAAAAATAAAAAAAATCAAGAAAGAAAATGTACTTACCTTCGGTGCCACTAATTGTGAGGCTCTGTTTACTACCCACTTGGGTAAAGACCCTGAAAAGAAATGGAGATAATATATTGCTTTAAAAATATGCTCAGAGAACAAAAATCACCATTAATGTAACAGAAGTATTCACCTCCTGAATGAAGCTGCAATAGTAAAATAGTTACAATTTTTGGATGTTTTTTAATCTGGTTTTTACACTGTAATTTGGCCTTTCTGTCCCTGGAGTCTGCTGTACAAATGCAATAAACTGAATCTTAGTGTCTATCCCACAGGTCACAAACGGCTGCTGCATCACAGCAACGGAAGACATTAATAATCAAAGCCATCGCTCCGAGCAGCACAGGAAAAGATGACATCAGCAAATTCATAAAATAT